GTGTGGTAAGGGAAACAACTCTTGTAGAGACTTGTGGTAAGGGGAACAACTCTTGTAGGGACCTGTGGTAAGGGGAACAAGTTTTGTAGAAACTTGTTGTAAAGGAAACAACTCTTGTAAGAGCTTGTGGTAACGGAAACAACTAAGGTAAGGGAAATAACTCTTCTAGGGACTTGTGGTAAGACAACTTTTGTAGAAAGACAGGGAATATTCCTCATCATTCTCTCCCAGTAGCTATAAAATTCCTCTTGCGTGGTTTAGATCAATATTTATTATTTTTTATACATTCCTTTTGAGGAAGACAGTGTTAGTCTTGATGTTATTATACATTTAATATAAGTTGTACCAAGCAGGATATGAAAGAGAAAGGGTTTAGTAAAATGTGTATAATATGGATATATAGATACGACAAGTGTATACGTTTGCATAAGATCTTGTTCAAGTACATTTTTTCCAAAGAAATTCAAGAACTGAAGTATTAAACAACAAGACCGAGATACTCCATAATTGAAACGTTCCCACATGGGAACCGAACCGGGGTTTTCTGCGTGCAGTGGCGAAGCGCTAACGCTACACCACAGACGCTGGTTCGCATCCTTCTGACAATAAATTTGTCACGACGTTGTTGAATCAGGCGCTCGTCAATTTTTGGGCAATGTGAAATTATTGGTATCATCTAAAAGTAAAAGCGTATTCCTTTGTCTTTCTTGCAATGAAAATATACCCTTTTATTTCGAATTGAGGTCGAGATATTTGCGATTGAAAGGGGTGGGGGGGGGGTGCCTGCTTTCAGTGGTAAAAGTAGCGAGAAAATGACGTCAAAGTTCAGTAACTTCAATTGCTTCAGTCATTGAAAACATAAAAATTACATATTTTGTGCCTTCTGTCAACATTTTTAAAAGTCAAATACACATGGGAATGTGTTTTTGTACGGACATAAAAAGTGTTGAGTCAACAAAACAAAAATTCGAAAAAAAGTGTCAACCCTTAGGAAAAAAGTAGATATCTTTGATTTCATTATTTTGACGAGCGCCTGATTTCAGCACGATGCTTAACAAATGTTGTGTGATATTTCTGCAGACGGCTGTGGACAGACCAGGTGTGAGTTTTACGCCGTGTGCGAGAGTCTGAACGGCCACCACAGATGTATTTGTCCCACAACGTGTGTCCAGGTTTGTCTGTCTGTTTGTCTGTCTGTTAGTGTGTTCAGGTTTGTCTGTTTGTTTGTGTGTTTGTCTGTTCCTTTGTGCGTCACACAGAGCTACTGTCTTGTCTTACTTTTCGAAAAAATAAAAAAGTTTTACGGCACTTGCAACTCCAATAGGTCAAAAAAGTGTTGAAGGTCAGAGGTGTTACTAGAGAGTAACAATACAAAGAAAAGAAGGAGGGCGGGAGGGGGGGATAAGGATAAATGGGACTGATAGGACAGAAGGAGCAAACCATACAAGAACACCTGCCAACCACCCGCTGCCTTCACTATAGTTTAATAATATATATTATTATAATGTGTTCAACAACGATGGGTGCTCTGGTGTGGTCTGCTCCTTCTTTCCTATCAAACATCTTTCGTCTTGATCTCTCCTCTTTTTTGTGTTTGTTACTCTCTTGTAACTCCTCTAAACTTCGGCACTTATATGACCTCATTGTGTTGCAAGTGCCTTAAAACTCTTATTAAAACAAAAACACGCTCTGTGTACTTTACCATTCATTAGCATTACCCTAGCATTTCCTAGAAAGCGACTCAGAAACATTCTCAGCTTCTCAGCAAGCATACAGTGAAAGTAAAATGGTATGGGCATCACGCCCCTATCAACACTGTTAGGTTATATAAGGGGCGGGGCCTCCTAGTTTACCGTCCGATACAGTGAAGGCTGGGGAGTCCACGCGCTGAAACACTCACAAACTGACATGATCTGTCTTTGTCTCATAAAGCGGGTCCACATTCCCGCCTGGGTGAAGTGAGGAAACTTCGTGAAAAATGCCTTTCTCAAGGACACAACATCTGGCCCTTGACATGATTCGAACCCACGACCTTACGTGTTCTTGGCACGGACTGTGTGACTTCAGTCTTCAATCTCGCTAAAAACATAAATTAGTGTGCCACTGGGAGCACATTATTCAATCGGGCATCAGGTGCATGGAATTTTTGGAGCTGTGGGGACTTGAAGATCAAATGCATTACAGTAAAAACATGCATGTCCCATCACTCTATTGTGGCAAAAATCGTTGTTCAATTACCAACATGTATGATATAATTATCTGCTTCAGCCTTTTCATTACTGTGAGAATGGTTCCTTTTTTGCAATGATGATAAATGATTAATAAGATTTCTATGTTAAAAAAAGAAATGACGTTGTGTTGGGGGGG